TTGATCATGTGTCACCATAGGTGTCAGTGTCTGTGATGGTCAACCTTGATTGCCAACTTGACTGGCTTGGGAAATTCCTAGCTAGAAAAGCACATTTCTAGGAGTGTTGGGGTGGGTCATGGTGTGCGAGCATAGGGATCATACCTGGCCCCTGGCCCCTTCGGCTTCCTGGACGCCATGAGTTAAGCAGCTTTCCTTGGCCACATCCTTCTGCCATGATGTTCCTGCCTTAGAGCCAGCCAACCATGGACTGAAACCTCTGAAACTGTGAGCCAAAATAAACCTCTCCTCTTTAAGTTGTGTCAAGTCTTCGGTCTCAGCTAGAAAAGTGATGAATATGTCTTCATCTGGATTTTCTCTGGATCACCTCCCTGAGTGAGTGGGAATTGTCGACTGCCTCCTTCACGTAGACCTTTCTCTTGCCCTTGTGTAAATAAAAAGGTTCCTTTCTGCTCTTGGCAAGTGGGGAATGCAGATATTCCCTTGGAAATGCTCCTAATTTTAGGTTTTTCCATGATGAAAGTATTTTATCAAAATAATACTTAGACAAAGGAAGTTTTTTCTCTGAGTTTCGATATCTTCCTGAGTGGATTGTTTCATCTAGGGCTGTGGTCTCGGGCTTCCTCTCATTCCTGGGCTGCTGGTTTAGCCCAGTAAGGGAGGGTCTCCTGCTGCCTGCGCAGGACAGCTCGGGAGATAGAGAACCTTGAGGAATCGCAGCCTGCATGTCAGCTGAAGTCTCAGTGCTCCCTTCTGCGCTTTCGTGTTGCGGAGGCGCACAGGGTAAATATTCCTCCTAAATTTATATGATATTTCATAACCATGGGATCACCCATCCTAGGCCGAATTTGTAGGGAAAGCATTGAGGGTAATAAATGGCAGAATTGTGGCACAGTTCTGAGGGGTGCAGCCGCAGAAGCAAGTTTTGAATACTGGCCAGAGAAAGAGTGATTTAAACCTGCATTTTATTCCTCCTGGACAGTGGCAGGAAGGTTGTGTTTTACTGTTCTCACTTATGCAGTTATGGAAAATTAATTTCATTATTTTAACTTGCTTACATCTTTAGCTCCATAGCAACTCACCTGTAGGGCTGCTCAGAAAGTCTTGTGGGATGGGAGAGGCAGGGTGTTCCTCCTACATGGGTACTTTGTGTCTATCTTAAATCAAGATAGAGGCCAATTTGGTTATTTTCTAAGTCTCAATCTAATTTCCCCCTCTAATATACTGATCCATGACAATGCAGCGGCCTCTGCCTGATGATCTGATTATTTAAGCCATCAGTGCCCAAGCCGTGAGTTCCAGTCCTGTGTTACTGAGTCCTAGCTTTCATCAATTCCAGACTCTCCTCTTTGTGCCTCGGTGTCATCAGAGGTCAGGCAGAGACAGCTGGGCAGCTGCCTAACTGGGGACCGTTCATTGTCCAGGAATGGTTGGTGCAGGTGATAGGAAGTGAGCCAGACATGGGCCCTGCTGTCATGGGGAACCAATAGGCACGTGATCAGCTATGGCCCGGTGTATGGGTGGAGGAAAGAACACAGAGACTTTGAACACTTTGGGTTTGACATTTAAGGAATAACTGTAGCTTAGGAGGTGGCAAAATCCCCAAAAGTATCTGCCTCAGGCTCTTAGAAGCCCAATTAGCCCAGGTTAGTAGTATCGGGGAAGACATTTGCAGTGGGTTCCAAGAACTTGAATTATAGACAAAGGGCCTCAGGCAGAAATGGCCTCTAAGAATCGACCTTGAAAGACATATGGATTTAATCAAGGTTTTTCCAATCTGTGCTCCCTGGCCTTTTGGAAGGTATTCATAAGTGTGGTGTTAAAAAAATCTGGGCTCAAGTAAGTTTTGGAAATACTATGCACTGTGTACCTTCTAACAATTCCTCATACATTTTAGCAGACTAAAGCCTCTGAAAACAGGCTGGGTATAAGTGGCACAGGCCTGTAATCCCAGCACTCTGAGAGGCTGGGTAAGGGAGTCCCAAATTCAAGCTCAGCCTTGGCAGCTTAGTGATTTAGAGAGATCTTGTCTCAAAATTTAAAAGTTTTTAAAGAGGGGCTAGGAATATAGTTAAGTTGTAAGGCCTTGGGTTAGGTTCTCAATCAAAAAAAAAATGTTTTCCTCTGAAAAGAGAAGTCCTGCATTAGATAAACATGTTTAATTGGTAATTTTGTTCAATTTAAATTTACGCATGCAACACTTTTTGTGTCCCACTTTATAATACCTGATTAAGAAGTATTTTATAGGCTGGCAGTTTGGGAAATTCTGAGTGGTAAATGTTATGGAAAACATCTGACGTATAGGAGTAACTACATAAAAGATTATAATTACGTTGGAACAAACTGACTTCTAGTCATAGAAAACAGAACAACCCTAAGCACATGATCTACAGGCTGTGGGTCAGTAAATCAAAACACACATGTAAATTGATCATTGTACTATTGTTGTTTATGGTTTATGCAGGTAAACATGTTTATCCATCCAGCATTCTATTTCTACTTTCTTTTTTTTTTTTGTACCAGGGATCAAACTTGGGAGCTTGTGCTTGTGAGGCAGGTGGAACCACTGAGCTAAATCCCCAGCCCTCCATTTCCACTTCCACTTTCTTATTAACTAGCCTGAATACTTCTCATTTAAGCCCAAGATGTTATTTTAGGGCTTTTACAAATTGGGGTGAGTCATGGGACCTCCTTAAGTTTTCACTCCTTTCGTTTAACCCAAATGAAGACAAAACCTAACTTACTCCCATTAAAGATGTGCTTAGTGAAATGTTGCCATCTTATGTTAAAATGTTAAATATTTTCATCGAATTTCCTACTAATTGTCCAAGACCACTGTTCAGGGTTCAGAGCGAAATTTTGTTGCATGCTTCTTCACCTTGTACAGTCAAAACAGAAAAATCTCAAATAGTTTCTTGGCTTCTGGTGCCACTTCCTTCTTAACCCAGGAAGGAGACTGTGGTGTGAGTATGACTTCATCACAGAAAGCTGAAGTGGCATGTTTGTCGTGTGGCTGTGGCCCACACTGGAGCCTGGGGATAGTCCCTCCTCTGCTGTAGCCAGTTGTGGCTAGAACTAATGTCATCCAAGCAGCTCACTTCCTTTAGCCAGTTTTTCTTTGTGCGTATGTATTTATATAACTGAGGGGAAAAGTTTCTGCCCAGAAACTAGAAGGAAGTGGATCTTTTGTACCTGTTCTATACCCTTTTTATTATGAAGGAGAGGGGGCCATCCATCCATCCATCCATCCATCCACCAACAACATCCAACATTACCATTTACTATGCAACTACCATCAACTACTCTAAGAAAGTGCCCCTGCCCTCATGAAATTTGGGGTCTCAAAGGGTTGACCTTATCATTTAAGCTACTTGACAGAGGCCCCATACGTAGTATAGACTATAATCAGGGACACTTTCCTAAGTCACCAGCAGTCTAGTATAAGTCATGACTAAATCATAGCTCTCATTTCAGTCTCAAACTCCACTTTGAAGAAAGCGAATGAATAAAGATCAGCGGTCTATTAACCAGAGGCAGTAACTGTGGCTTTTTGTCCGCCCTTTTTGTCTTTACGGGCTAAGTCCTAGGTCTAAGGTCCTCTAATACTTAAGAAGCCATCTCTGCTTTCACTCGCAGGTGAAACTGTTGCTCAGACTTGCCATTTAACGTCATGTATAAAGACATGGAAGTCTAATGTAGTATGCTTCTGTTTAACAAGGCTCAGAGCCTTTATGTGTGTACCTTCTGCAGAAGAATGAGAGCCCAGGCTTCTGGTCAATCCCTGCAGGAAAAACCCATGAGCAGAGCACATTTTCCTAAAGCACAGGAAATGCAGGCCTTCTGGAAACCGGAGGAAAGAAGAGAGGCATGTGGAGTTGGCAAAGGATGGCTGAGTACTTATGTATTGGGTCCTAAATCATAGTTTGTGCAATTATCTCATTTAGTCCTCCCACTGATTTTACTAGGTTGCATTTCCCAAACACTAGAGAGTCAGAGCCTCAGAGAAGTGAAGTAATTGACCAAGATTTCAATTCAGGTACATCTGCCCTCTAGCCTGCTACTTCTCAGGTGAGTGACGTGGCATTCTGTTTGGGATAAGGGGGCATGGGGGACATCTGATAAATTAGACAATTGAACAATTGTACCTCAGTCTCCTAACTTCTCGAAGTGCTGCTAGTTTTCAGCACCAATCAGCTGCCTTCAGCCCTTAGGTAACAGAAGGAGAAGTCACAGGTGGCTCTGCTCTTTACCAGTAAGTTGTCCCGAGAGACCCTACTCTCCATCATTGGCCCTCAGTTCACTAAAATCGGGGCTAATAATAACACTAATGTGAAAATAATAATAATAAAAAGCACTCGACAATCTAAAAGCTTAGATTTTAGAGTGAGAGAGACATGTATTTGGTGATAGTGCTCACTATTTACAGATATGGTACTGTGATCTTGGGGGAAGTTACTTTAATCCTTTAGGCTTTCCTTTCTTCATCTGATCAATGGGGAAACAATAGCACCTTGCTCAGGTTATTGATGTAAAGATTAGGTGAATGCCTCTGAATACCTGGCACAGTCCTGGAAGGCTGTAAGCACTGAGTAACAGTTGCTTACAATGACTGCCTTACAAGACTGTTGTCACTCTTGCAACTTAAGCAATAACATGCATATGTAGGTGTTCTGTAAACTGTAAAGTCTATCACGTTATTTACTGTTAGTGGTAATAATGGCCGAGATGGTTATTACTATTAGTAATTTTCTTCGCAGTCATATGCTCTAAGAAGGCCAAATAGATTTGAGCCAAATATCCCTGTGTCACTGGCTAGCATGAGTTCCTGCTTTAAGTTAAGACTAAAGCACAAATTTACAGGGAAAAACCCTTTAATTGGAAAGTTAGAGGGGAGATAGGAAAGGCCTCCAGTTTCGGTAGCTGCACTCGGCACACAGTTCAGACTGGTCCACCCGAAGGCAGGGCCGGCTTTCAAGCATGAGCTAGTCATGCTTGGGGGTTGAGCTAGTCAACCTGGGGTCCGGCTGCTCATTCTTTCACTCCTGGTGCCAAACTCCTTTTGGCTGAGGGGTGGTCGAATTTCCAAGAAAGGATTATCCCTGTCTAAGGCAGTCTTCGTTGGGTGGGACTCCACCTTCCCTGGGATCCAGATGATTGCAGATTTAGAACAACGGCTGGAAACTTCTGGATGTATCTAAATGTCTCTGTGAACCATTTATCTTGGTGTCCTCAGTCTTATATGTAAATTTAGGGTACATCAAGCCAGCTCCTAGACAGGTGTTCCCTAAGTGATCAGCATACCCCATAGAGAGCTGAGAAGGGATTTGACACAAGATTCACAGTAACAAAGGATACAAAATTAAGTCAAGCTTAGTTTTGCTTTTTACCTGTTGGACATCTGTAAGACCAAGTGAAGTCAAGGTTCATAGCAGAAATGGCTTCTAAGTCCCTGCCTGTCCCAGAAGAAAACAAGAATCATGCTTTTAATGAGTAACAGGTCAAGGCCTAGGATTCTGCCTGTTCCCCTGTTCCTTTGGTGATCCCAGACTGTGTCATGACTGTGTCACCTGGATCTCACGCGCAAAACATAACACCCTGGGAGATAAGGGCACCCATACCCAGGGGGACATTACAGGTGAAATCAACATTTGAAGAGAACCCTGGACCTTCTGTAACAGCCCATTCTCTCCTCCAGCCAGTACTAATTCCAACCAGCATTTATTCCTAAACCACGGATTCATGTCATTCATTCATCTGATAAAACCGTGTCCAAGGAACAGCATGAACATCAGGGAGAGCACAGTTCCAGATGGTGCATAGGTAAGGCATCAGAGAAGCTCTGGCCCACGGATGTCCCACCGGAAATGTGCTGGCCCATCAGCTCGCTAAAAGCAGATTGAAATTCTTTGCAATAAAAATGAAAGCTGGTTGCTCTCTAGGATGGATACTGCAAGCTGCAGCCCATGTGATGATGCTTCCTTTTATTATAAAGGACAGAAGTAATTTATAAAGAACAGAAATTGATTTCTCACAGTTCTAGAGACTACAAGATCAAAGCTCAGGTAAGTTCAATTTTTTGGTGAAGGCTGGACTCTGGAGAGGAGAAATGATGTGTCCTGACACGACACAAGAGCAAAGGATTGTGTCACGATTCCTTCAACAAAGGCCTTAATCTCCTTCACCAAGGAGACACCCTCACGACCTGGTCACCTCATAAAGTCTCACCTCTAACACCATCACCCTGGCAACACATGAAATTTTCAGAGAGCACATTCACACCATAGCACTGCTGCACGCAACTAAGCATCCTGGCCAATACAGTGACCAATGAAGATGGAGGACACTGTGAGAGAAGCCATTGTTGTTAAGCTGCTCATTCACCCTACATGTACAACTCCAAGACCTGCTGTCTGAAAAATCAGAACATTTTTCCTTTCACTAATTTGGATTTCTGTGGTGAGGGAGGTATAAATCTCAATCAAATTGTACAGAAAATGCACATGAAATAATCTTTTCTACCTCCTGGAAGGAAACAAGGGCTTAGCTCCTCTCTCTTTTGTGGTTGTCCACAGTGACCCAGTTACCATAGTTAAAAGCTTCCTTTTCAAAGCACAGCCAAGAGTCAGCCAACTCAGAATGAGTTCCAGCCGTACATAATTCTTTCCTGCTTCCGTGGACACCAACTCCATTGTGAATCCCACCTATTGTTACCTCCTTCCGTTACACCAGCCTTATGCCGGGGAGTTTCCTGAGAACTTGGTGTGGGGCCAGCTAAGCAGGTTTGGGTAACAGCTGCTCCTCTTCTGATCCTATTTAGAGTTCTTTGACGGATGAAGCTGTGAGTGAAGGCTGAAGTCACAGGCAGAGGTGATGTGAGAGGTGGGAGCAAAACCAAGCCTCCCACTTCCTGGTTCTTATGCCACCTGGGCCTTGCTGGTAGACCAGATGTCTGACACTGACCTCTTTAGCTATTCATAGATCTCTAAACTAATATTACTGTTTCAGATCTTAATTTCCTGCTATCCTTGTCATCCTCCAGCCCCTTTCTTCTTTAGTTAATCAATAAAAATAATGACTACCTTTAATAATTATATACAGCCTTGCAACAAGCGAAATGCTATATGTAGATATAAATACAGGTAATTTAATCCTTGTATCTTCTTTGCAAGTTATTACTTCTGTCTTAGTTTGCTTTCTGTTACCATAACTGAATACTACAGAATAGGTAATTTATAAAATACAGAGATTTATATCTAGCTCATGGTTTTGGATGGTGGGAAGTCCAAAAGAATGGTGCAGGTATCTGCTCAGATTTTGGTCAGGAACTTCCTGCTGGTTCTTGACTTGGTGAAGGGCATTGTGATAAGACAAAGCAAGTATGCCTGAGAGAGCTTAGTTTCATAGTGAAGCTATTCAGAGATAATTCGTTAATCCACGAATGGGTTGACCCATTTGTAAGAGCAACGCTCTTAGGACCTAATCACCTCTTAGCAGGCTCACTTAGTACCACCTATTAGCACCTTACAAGGGAGGTTAAATTTCAACATAAGTTTTGATGGGGACCTTCGCACAGTAGCAACTCCCATTTCATAGTGAGAAAACTGAGATGCAGAGAGGTTAGGGGGCTTCTACCGGAGATGCATCTTGGGGTAGGAGGATGAGAAAAAAAGGATATTACAAGGGAATTTGCGGCAGTGTGCTAGGAAATGTCCCAGAGCCAAAAGCCATTGCTCGCCTATTTCTGGTGTGTAAGTACTCCCCCAAGTGGGACGTCCCTGGGAAAGGGTCTGCAGAGCTGGCTCTGACATGCTGGTAAAAGCCAGCTCCAGCGCCTACCTGGTTCCTGCAGTTTGCAGATGGATGTGTCAGGGTCCAGCCCGGAGCCTAATTTGCCTGTTTGGCTGGTATTTGGGCTCTGTCATCCGCCATTTGTTAAGTGCACAGTGTCAGACTGGGGTGTAGTTCCATGGTAGAGTGATTGCTTAGCATGTATGAAGTGCTAAGTTCAAGTCTCAGTACCAGGAAACAAAACAAAACGAAAACCCCACAGTGTCTGAAAAAGCTTGCTAATGTGGCTGATGGGTAAGTTACTGAAAGCTCATTCTGACTCAGAGACTCATCTCAGCTGTGGCTGCGCCCACCCATTGTCCGACTCCTGAGTTTCTCGCCAGTCCCAAGGGGCTCACACCCTTCCTAATCAAGTTACACAGAGGGAAGCTGGTGGCCCATGGCAACTCTTCTTTAGAAAAGCAAACAGTTGAAGCAAAGCCTTTTTTGCTGTGACTTAAAGTAATAAGGCAAGGACTTTCTTCCAACAATGATTAATCCTAGAGGCGTGCAAAATATGTCTTACCAAACACAAAGTTTAATGATATGATGTCATCAAGCTTCGTCCTCCCAGCCACAGCCCCCTTCATCATTCTGCTATGTCTGAGGTGCTCTTGTTCAAATATAAAAACAAAGCACTTCTTGTTCAAGCCCTGCTCAAACCTACCCCGTTTCCTCTCCCCAAGAGGAATGTGTTGGAACGCGCTTCCAATAACAGACGTTGGGTTCTGTTTCTCAGACAAGAGTGCATGCAATGATAGTATACAGATTGTGTCATTAGAAAGGAGATAAATTTCTAATTTTTAGCAAATACTCGAGCTTCACATCTTTTGTCTGAAGTTAATGAAATTGGAAATCATCTTTGGCAGCTTGGTGATGGAATGATTTCATAGGTATGCATGCAAAGGCTAGGGCCTCTTTCATTCTTTCAACAAGCTGTTATGGAAAGTCTCTTAGGTGCCAGACACTCTGAACAGGCCTAGGGGCATTAGAGAAAAATAAAACAGAGGCCAACACTGGGCAGGGAGTGGTTGAGGAATGCTAACCCAAGGTTAGCAAACTACAGCCTGAGGCTCCATCCCTGCCCACAGCCGGGGCAGGAAGGTCTAGCTGGCATACAGCCACAGCTGTCCATTTGCCAGTCATCTGTGGTTCGTTGAACCCCATCAACACGAGCAGCTGGGACAGAGGCTGAGCACTCACAAGGTCTAACAACAAGTCGTGTCCCCCTTAACAATGGGGAACCATTCGGAGAAATCCATGCCAGGCAATTTTGTCAGAGTGAACATCATAGAGTTTATTTACACACACTGCTTTACAGCACACTTATTTTTATGAGTCCTAAGGAGTACAGTTTAAAGATGACAAAACACTGTATAGCATAGTAAGTATATAAACCAGTAACGCGATCGTTTGCTGTCATTATCAAGTATTGTGGACTGTACATAATTGCATGTGCTGTACTTTTATACAGCTGGCAGTGCAGGAGGCTTGTTTATACCAGCACCACCGCAAGTGTGTGATGAATTGTGTATGGCATCAGGGTGGCCTTGATGTCACCAGGCTGTAGGACTTTTTCAGCTCCATCTCATCGTTGTAGATGTACTGTATCTTCCTTCCTTCCTTCCTTCTTTCCCTCCTTCCTATTTTTCTTTTCCTTTTTGAAGTACTTGGGGATTGAACCCAAGGTCTTCACACTGAGCTACGTCCCCGGCCCTTTTTTATTTTTTACTTTGAGATAGAGTCTTGCTGGTCAGGCTTGGCTCAAACTTGTGGTCCTCCTCAAACTCAGCCTCCCAGTATGTGTGCTGCCACACCTAGCTCTCCATTGCAATTGTACAGGACCACAGTGATGTTGGGTTTCACTGTTGACTGAAATGTCACCATTCAGCATGCAAGAGATGATGCAGCCCAAATGAAAGTGCTGCTGGGAACAGAGTTAATACATGGCATATATAGCATTTCCTGGGCCCCAGGAGGACAGACTGTTTTATACCTTTTAAAAACATCCCTCTATTTATGTAAATTGTTTTCCAGGGAGACCGGGACAATATGTCTAATTATTGAGATTTGTCAACTATTTTACCTAAAGCTGCCACAGAAATGCAAAGGAGGGCAGCCACTCATAGAAAATAGAGCAGTACTGAACTTGGCAAGTTAAAAGCTATAAAAATGTTTTTCATAATTGTTATCATAACTATACTAAGCCCAAATAAAGTGCTATCAGAAAATTTAATCTTTAATAGATAAAACTGTAGCAAAGTAGCAGCTAGGTGATTTGACAGGAAATTATTGCTTGTTTTTTTTGTAAATCTTAATTAAAGAATTGATAATAGATTCGAGGCAGGTCAGTAAGTCTGCTGAGGAGAGATACTGTGGGAACTTGCTAGGTGTTCTCTCCCTTTCGACTCCTCTGCAGTTCAGGGAGAATGAGGAAGGTCCTGGATGACTCCCGCTCTGGGCTCTGTCACAAGAGGTCGATCCTTGAAAACTGCATGGCCACTCAGTTTATTGACCATAAACGCGGCCTACTGGGTGTGAGACTGCTCTGCCCGTGCCCTGCACCAGGTGGCAGAAACACCAGCTAGGCCAGGCGTGGGCCCCTCACGGGTCTCACCGTCCAGCCAGAGGATGGGGTCACAGCCGGAATGAGAGCCAGGTGACCTGTTTTAGTGGAGGTGGCATTGTCTGGTCACAGGTGACCTACGCTTTGTCTTCGCTTGGAGCCTCCCCATTCTATGCCAGTGGCCCCACCCGCCCTGCTCCCTCACCTACCAGTTGGAAGCTTTCAGTCCCAGCGCCCCTTGGCCTGGCCCCAAGGGCCTCCCCAGGGCTTGTTAAATTTGCTGAGAGCGCAAAGCCTCTCTCACCACCCAATCCAGCGTAAAGCTGGAGTGAGAGTGTCGACTGAGCCCCTTTGGGCTCCTCCGTGGACAGAGTGTATGGCCCTAGAGAGAAGCCAAGGGAGCTAGGATGGCTGTCCAGTGCCTGTCTCCTGGCACCCCGCTCTTCCCACAGTTCGGCCTCTTTTTGCAGAAGTGAGGCGTTGCTGACCCTTGGAGAAAAACTCTGGTCAATGAAAGTGTGGTCAAGGAAACAAGAAGAGGTGATGGCTCCAGCTGCTGTTGCTGGCCGTGGGCTGAAGAACGAAGCAGGTCTGCCTGGACAGTGCACCCCAGGCAGCAGGGCAGAACCTGCAAGGTGGGGCAGGGTTTGGCGACTCCATAAACAGGGCCAGAGCGACGGGTGGGGGCCCACAGGGAAGGAGA